TCTCCGTTGCACTGCACTGCGGTCTGCTTCACTTCGGTGTGGCTGGCGCCTAGGTGCGTTCGCCTTAATGCGGAGCATGTTGCTCAGTGCATGTGCACACCTCGCAACCTGTGCGAATTATTATTGCAGGTGCGCTGCCTGTTGTAGCTAATAAGCTTCGCCTGCTGGCCCAGACGACGCCTTCCGCTCCCTGACCGTTGCCTCGGAGCCACCGACCAAAAAAAGTATCCCCACCAGCCCATCCAACAACAATGCCCAGGCGAGTTGCCTTGATCAGGGAAGTGTGGGAGCACGCAGTAGAACAAAGAGGGGCGCATCCATCGAACCGAAGATCGGGATCGGCCTGAGCGGGCCCTGGAGTGCACCATACATGCTTTCGCGAATCTCTCGATTAGGAGCTTGTCATCAGCTTGCTCGGGCTGTCTTGGGCCCCTCTTGGTGCCATGTTGGACGCATTCGTGGCACTCTTGGGGCCCTCGTGGGGTTCTCTTGGGGCCCTCTTTGGTTGGGGCCCCGGGGCCCTTTCTTGGGGCCATCTTGGGGACTACCAATTAAAAGGGGGGGGTCCTTAATTAGGACAACCCCCCCGAGAGTTCCCCAAATCAGTTGATGGAGCCCTCTTGTGGATCTCTTGGGCGTTTCGGGGGCCATTTTGAGGCCATGTTGGGCCCCTGTTGGCTGTTGGGGCCATCCTGGAGCCAACCATCGAAAGCGACAAGGCGAGAAAACAAAACTCATTGACTTCTTAATGGTGTGGGGCCTCTTGGAGGCGGCCTGGGGAGGCTCCGGGGCAACTTGGAACCGTCTTGGAGCTGCGTTACAGGCTGGAGGCCGTCTTGAGGTATCTTGAGCCATCTTGGAGGGCATACTGGTTGGGATGCAAGTCAAGGAGGTCCAATCCAGAATCGGCGCGGATACACCCTGGCCTAATTTGGTTTAGTTCCGCTTAGTCTGGCTCCGGCTAAATCATGCTTCATCCAGCTTTATCCTGGGCAGGAGTTGCCATCCAGTCTTGCGCTCTCCGAGGCTCTCTTGGAGCCATCTCGGGCCATCTTGGCACTCCAGCGCCTGGCAACCCCCTTTGTTCCAGTTTCAGGGGAGGGGGCAGTGGGGAACCCCCAAGAAGCCCCAAGGCGGCTTCGAGAGGCCGCCGTTTATTCATCATCCTGCCCCCTCGTCCTTCTTCTCCGCCCTGTACTCCTTCTCTCCCTTTTCCTCCCAAGTGTTCCTCCAAGGGGGTCCACAACAGCTGTGGGAGCACACAGCCCTATAGCTTGGCCAGGCTTTGGCCCAACGCTGGGCCGCATGGGCGTTTCCAAAAGGCGGGGGGGGCGGACGGGAAGCTCCAGGACCGCCCACGCCACAAAGGGCAAGTGAAACTCAGGCCAGACTGCTCCCCCAGATAAGCATGGGGGCCGACTTTCGAGGGGAGGGGAGGTGGAGGAGGCGGAGGCGGGACGCCTCCAGTTTCCAGTCGAGCACCGAGGGGTGGGCCATGAGTCGTCCCAACCCTTTTTCCCTTGACGTGCCCGCCCTCCTCCTCCTCCTCCTCCTCCCCCTGCCCTCCTCTCCTCCTCCTCCTCCTCCTCCTCCTCCGCCCCTCCCTCCTCCTCCGCCCCCCGCCCGCCTCTCTCCTCCTCCTCCTCCTCCTCCTCCTCCTCCTTTTCTCTCCGCGTCCTCCTCCTCCTACCTCCTCCTCCTCCCTCCATCCTCCTCTTCCTCTCTCCTACTCCTCCTTCTCCTCCTGCTCCTCACTCATCCTCCTCTTTCTGCCCCTCTTCTTCCTCCTCCTTTCTCCTCCTCCTCCTTTCCTCCTCCTCTCCTCCTTCACCTCCTCCTCCTCCCCCTCCCTCCTCCTCCTCCTCCTCCTCCTCTCCTCCTCTCCTCCCTCCTCCTCCTCCTCCTCCTCCTCCCCTGCTCCCCGCTCATCCTCCTTCTCCCTTTCTCCTCCTCCTCCTCCCCTCCCTCCTCCTCCCTCCTCCTCACTCCTCCCTCCATCCTCCCCCCCTTCTCCTCCCCTCCTCCTCCTCCTCCTCCCCCTCCTCCCCCTCCTCCCTCCTCCTCCTCGTCCTCCTCCTCCTCCTCGCTCTCCTCCTCCTCCTCCTCCTTCCTCCTCCTCCTCCTCCTCTCCTCCTTCTCCTCCCTCCTCCTTGTCCTCCTGCCCCTCCTCCTCCTCCTCCTCCTTCCTCCTTCTCCTCCTTCCCCACCTCCCCCTCCTCATTCCCCTTCTCCTCCACGATACGTCAATATGAATACTACTCTCCCTCTTCCCCCTGATGACGCTTTTGCGTATTCGCCCCCCCCCCGCGTATTTTTTTTACACACACGATTCCCCGGAGTTGGGTTTTCGCCTTCGTTTTTTTCAAAATGCTGCTCTCGCTGAGGCGCCGGCCTCATTTCTGCTCCCGAATCGTTCCGAATCGTGCTCCCGCTGCAGCGTGGGCCTCATTTTCGGATCGGTGTTTGGCCTCCGTCGTTCAGGATGGCGTTCTCGCCCCAGCGTGGGCCTCTTTCTCGCGCGCCCATCCGCCCGCCACCACCGCGCCGCACCACGCCCCGCCCCGCCGCACGCACACCCACCGCCACGTCCACCCACCAACGCACGCACGCACGCACGCGCACCACCACCGCGCACCGCCACCACCACCGCACTACCCCACCCACCACCACCACGCTACACCGCGTCACACCACATCACACGCGCTCACACACAGACACGCACGCACGCACGCACGCACGCACGCACGCACGCACGCACGCACGCACGCACGCACGCACGCACGCACGCACGCACGCACGCACGCACGCACGCACGCACGCACGCACGCACGCACGAACGCACGCACGCACGCACGCACGCACGCACGCACGCACGCACGCACGCACGCACGACAACACCACACACACCACACACACACACACACCCATGCACTCACACACATCCGCGCAACACACCAAATACACACGCACACACACACACCCAACACAAACCAGAAACACACACACACACACACACACACACACGCGCGCGCGCGCGCGCACACACACACTCACACACACACACCACCACAACCGCCACCACCACCACCACCGCCATCACGAACGTACGCACCTGGCCCACCACCAAACCACCACCACGCCACACCACTTCACACCACAGCACACGCGCACACACGCACACACACACATACACACCACCACCACAACAACCACAACCACGCACACACGCACGCACGCACGCTCACCACCACCCACTACGCACACGCGCGCGGAGCCACAGGTCCGCTACGACACGCGTCCGCGGATAGAGAAAATCAGCGCCATGGTAAGGGA